GAATGCATCAGATTTGAAATTCCTTATAAAAGTAAGAATAAATCACATATCTGGAATAGACAGGCCAATATAGAATCTGTTGTGCAGGAATGTGTGGATTTGTCAGATACATGGGGCTTAAAATGAGCCGTATATTAAGTCTAGCAAATGATAATTGCAGAGCTCCACTGCCTCTACAAGGTAAATGCTAAGGTAACTGCTGATTATCCCTAATACTTACAAAGTGTTAACAGATAAGCCTAATAGGATTTGAATTTAAGTAGCTGTGATTTTTCCCCCCCTCCCTCTTCTAACTCTGTGAATTGGAAATTCTGTGGGCACAAATAGAAAACGCACACTTTCAGTCCTAAGGCACTCACCATACAAATCCTCCAAGGTCAGATCATAGCATGATGTTAGGGCAGGATCAGATATGGTAAGCTGGCCAAAAACCTAAATAAAATGCTGCCCACTTTGTTATACTAAGAGTTTCTCAACAAGGGGTCCTGAAGTATTAATAGTACTTCAGATTAATTTATCAGGAAACACACTAGTCAATGGGCCCGTGGAATGATGATCTGATTCTTAACAAATAGCTAGAAAATTCCATGTGTTCAATTACTAACATATGGCATTTTTCTAAATCGCTGGCACTTTATCATATTATGTGTACCGTGTGTGTGCCTGCACACATGTGCACTCTGTGTGTGTGTTGGTTCAACTGTTACTTCTTGAGAGCTAACTATACGCTAGCTACGTTATTAGAGACCACTTGGGATAAATGCCAAAGAAGACAAACACAGCAGTGGTCCTCAAGAAAATACGATCTAGTGGAGCGGTGCTTCTCACACTTTTAATGTGCATATAAATTACACGAAGAATTTTTTAATATGCAAATTCTAATTCAGTGTGTCTGGGTTAGAGCAGAGATTCTGCATTTCTAATACACTCCCTTTACTGCCAATGTTGCTGGCATTTGAGTAGCAAGGTGTCGGAGGACATGGGTGTTAAATCACACAAATAACTAACCGTATCCTTACATTTGTGATAGTCCTATAAAGAAAGAAGTTTGGGGCCAGGTGGGGTGATTCACACCTATGATCCTAGCACTCTGGGAGGGCAAGGTGGGAGGATTGCTTAAGATCGGGAGTTTGAGACCAGCCTGAGAAAGAGAGACAACCCACCTCTACTAAAAATAGAAAAATTAGCTGAGTCTCAGTGGCGCATGTCTGTAGTCCCAGCTACTCATGAGGCTGAGGCAGGAAGATCCCTTGAGCCCAGGAGTTTGAGGTTGTTGTAAGCTAGGCTGATGCCACGGCACTCACTCTACCCAGGCAACAGAGCAAGATGCTGTCCCCCCTCCCCCCAAAACAAAAGAAAGAAAAAGAAAAAAAATAAAAATGTTAATGAGTCCATGAGATCAAATAAAGTGGGGGACTTAATCTATACTTCAAGGCTAGGAGGTCAAAAGTTGAAGGATGGTGAGGGAGAAATAGGATTTCTTAGGACTTTTCCTAAAGGAGCTATAGGAGATGACTCCTTCAGTAGAATTTCATAAGAGTGTAACATGAGAACTACCAATGGTCTTGCTCAAGGGTGTCTGGAGAAAGCCCACAAGAAGCAGGAAAGGATCCAGCCATGCAAAGGAAAGAGAACGAGACATATCCTACTGTGTAAGAATCTCCTAGCTGCTGTGGTTTTGGAAGTACCCCATTTGACTACCAGAAATACTCCAGAATTTTTCTCAGTGATGTGACTCATACTATTCCCTTTTCTATTTAGCTAGTTTGAGGAGGCTTTCTATCAGATACAACTGAAAAAAACCTGACCATCATAAGAGCAGAGGGAGCTGGAGGTGATCATCTTGGGGGATAGACATACCATTTACTGTAACGATGAAGGCAAGAAAAGAAGCTGGCTTGGAAGGGAAGAACCAAAGTTCCATTTGGCAAAGGAGAATTTGAAATACATATGAGATACCCAAGTGGAAATAGTAACTATATGATGAATATATAAATTTAGAGTTGACTCAAGAAGAATGGAGAGTGGATATAAGTTTGAGCATAGACATAATATCCAAAACTATAGGATGGCATGAGATGAGATTATCTGGGGGAGAAACTACCCAGTAAAAACAGAAGAGGATTCAGGACTGGGCCCTGAAGAGCCCCATGATCTATGGACCTGGTATCATTTAAACAATGCCAAACTTGAACAAAGAAGAATATCTGTAACCCACTCACTCCCTAACCCCCATACAGCTGTATTTTGTTCATTTATTTGCTGGATGATGTTAAAGTAATAAGACTGATTTTTAAGTGTAGCTCATAAACTGCCTCTAGAGGTAATTCTGAAAAAACATCTGAGTCATCGGATGAACATTACTTACACCTTAGAACTTAGGCATTTGCATTATAACAATATTTTTGTATACATATATCATTTCTCTGTTATTTCTTGATTACAAGCATGGAAATGGAGTATTGAACTAATTCTATAATGATCACCAGAGAATAAGTTTTTATATGACCTCCCAGATGCGTAGAATATGGACAGCATTGCCTCTGTAGACAGAGCAATTTGAATGAAAGAGCTGAAAGTTGAATTTTCTTTTAAAGTTTTTTATTTATTTATTACAACTTCATCATGTTATTCACTAAGTCAGAAGAGTACTTACCATTGCGATACATGTTTGCAAAATGACTGATTTTATATAGATGTATGCAGGTGTATATTTATATAGATGTATGCAGATTTTATAGATGTATGCAGATGCAATACCACCTAAAAAGTCTGTATATTATATATTTATGTGTGTATGAATTCTATGATCTATTGCATTAAAAGTCAAACCACACATGCTGAGACATAGAATTTAAGATTTATTCAGTTAAAAGCATATTTGCAAAAGATTATTATGATAAATTCCAATCCAGTTCTAAAAGACTATAGATTTTGACAATTCTCAATCTCTACAGATTAGCTCCCACATACCATGTTCCCCTAATGGAATGTTGCCTTCTTTTCAATTTCCTGTGAAGTATTTTTATGCATCTTAAGAGAATTCAGAAATATGCTAAGACCAAGATGCTATTTTCTTTCAACAATGACAATTTATGCAGTGAGGAACAATAACTTTATAAATTTATGAGATTATTTGGAATGTGATTAGTGAACATTTATCTTTCTCCATCTCTAATTGTTTCAAATATTTTAAGTTAATAATTAAATTGAAAATATTGGGCTAAACTTATTTTCCTTATATGTTCTCTCTAGTTCTTTAAGTGACCTTATATAAACGAATGAACAAATAAATATCATACATGATTCTTACCAATAATACACAGATTGAAAAGTCTAGAAACATAGAACAACATTTACTGTGCTTTTTCAGATTAGTAATTTGCTTAAATTTAGAAAGGCTTTACCTGTAAAAGAATATGGGGTTGAAGAAAAATGTATTGAGAATATTTTTTTGAAAAGTAACTAACATTTTCATTTTTATTTTACATTTTGACGCTCAGCCACTCATAATTAGATTAATTATACATGAGTGGATTAATAAAATGTGGTATATGTGTAGCATGGAGTTCTACTCAGCCACAAAAGACAATGGAGATCTAGCACCTCTTGCATTATCCTGGATAGAGCTGGAACCCATTCTACTAAGTGAAGTATCACAAGAAAGGAAAAACAAGCACTACATGTACTCACCATCAAATTGGTATTAACTGATCAACACTTATGTGCACATATAGTAGTAACATTCATCAGGTGGGAAGGGGGAGGAGGTTATTCACACCTAATGGGTGTGATGCACACCACCTGGGGGATGGACACATTTGAAGCTCTGACTCAGGTGGGGCAAAGGCAATATATGTAACCTAAACATTTGTACCACGTAATATGCTGAAATAAAAAAAAAAAATTCTTGGTTAATGTCATTTTCCCAATACTTGTCTAGGTGGGATAGGGAAGTAGCAGGCATTGCTTAACTGAGTCAAGAAGTTTCAAACTACCCTCATCAAAACAAGATAGGGGACAGGACAAGTCCCAATCAGTTCGAACCAAGATGCATTGGAATCCACTGCTTCTCGATTTTACAGCTTTTTTATACCCTCACTATCATAAAACTCTCTAAGGAAATCTCCTACTCCCATCATGCACCATCCCTTTCCAGGTAACAATATGAATATCTCTTTGCTTGTTTAGCCTATAATTAAGCCCCTGCTTAAATAGAGGGACAAAAGGAACCGCCCGGATGGTTCTCCTCCCCAGGGAAAACTAGACTCTACTCTGTATATGGAGCAGATTTTCTATATTTCCTAAGTAAAACTGGCTTTCACTTCACACTGGTGGCTTACTACTGAATTCTTTCTTGCTTGAAGCCAAGGACCAACTTGGACTTCAGGTGATTTCTGGCATTGGGAATTACTTTCCTGTGACACAGTTATGGCCACTTTTATTTATTTTCTTCATTGCTAATTATTTATTTTAGTAATAGAATAATCAGCCACAAAGTCACTATCCACAACAAAAGCTAGGGCACCACATCAAGCCTTCTGGTTCCTCCTCTGATCCAGTCTCCATCACTAAACATCTTATATTCATTGCTCCTTTTATCTAATTGTATTGTAACTATTCGTTTTCTTTAAAAATACACATATATATGTAGTAGATTTTTTTTTTTTACTTTTATTAAAAGAATGTCAGGCTCTGTATAATCTTCTGGAAGTTCTGTCTCTTAACATTGCATTGCTGAGATTAATTCGTATTGTTACATGCAGCTATATTTTATTCATTTTGATTGCTATGTAATTTTCATTGAGTGAATACACTACTGTTTATTTATCTACTGTTTCTGGACATCAGGAAATGGCCTAGAAATACATTTCCTTTCCTGAATGAACCAATAAGGCCCATTTCGAAGAGAAATGAATACAAGTGAAAACCTTTTAAAGCAAGTGCTGACTGAAGAAGTAGAATTTCCCATTTAAAATATCCCAAAAGAACTCGTAAATTCTTTGACTAGCAATTGGCACGCCTGAACCTCTTGAGGAGCATAGAGAAGCAGACCCCAGAAGGATCTGAGGTTGAATAATGCTTCCTGTGGTAGGGAAGGGAGGTGCTAAGATCGCTCACAAGATTTTTTTTTTCCTTCCACAAGAGCAGGCATCCCGAAGACTGGAGCTGTCTACAAATTATTCTGACGCCAATTCCAGTCTTCCAGACAGAAACACAAAAGGAGGGCGTGGGCTTATACGCAAATTCCTTTTCTCCAGTCCTTCCTGCAGAAGTTCACTGGGATCTGAGACCCTGAGACTCTCTGAGCAGGGAAAATGATACACTTCATCCCAGTGGCGACTTTCTTCTCCTGCTCTAAGCAGGGTGTTTGACCTTCTGGCCCACCGTGTCCCCTGTGCCCTGGCGCCAGCTGTGTCCCCGACCCCAGAATAAATCAGGGCTGCACGCAAGGCCTGGCAGAGCTCTCCGCACATTTCCTGTCGAGGCCTAAGGGAAGCTGACGGGGGCTTCTTGGAGTTCGGGGGCGGGTGGAAGGGAAAGTCCAGCGAGAGTGAGGGCAGAAGGGAGGGGAGAGCGGACCGAGTGGAGTGAGGCAGCTGTAGAGGGCGGAGACCGCGCTCCACAGACGGCTGGGCGCCCTGGAGTGGGCCAGACCCGAGTTGGGAGCAGCTGTGCAGTGGGTGCGGGGCCTGCAAGATGAGGCCGGCGCTCACCTTGTGCCTCCTCTGGCAGGCGCTCTGGCCCGAGCCGGGCGGTGGCGAGCACCCCACCGCCGACCGCGCGGGCTGTTGGGCCTCGGGGGCCTGCTACAGTCTGCACCACGCGACCATCAAGCGGCTGGCGGCCGAGGAGGCCTGCAACTTGCGCGGCGGGGCGCTCAGCACGGCGCATGGGGGTGCTGAGCTGAGCGCTGTGCTCGCGCTCCTGCGGGCAGGCCCGGGGCCGCGAGAAGGCTCCAAAGACCTCCTGTTCTGGGTCTCGCTGGAGCGCAAGCGTTCCCATTGCACCCTGGAGAACGAGCCTTTGCGGGGTTTCTCCTGGCAGTCCTCCGACGCCAGCGGGTCCGAAAGCGACACGCTGCAGTGGGTGGAGGAGCCCCAACGCTCCTGCACCGCACGGAGATGCGCAGCACTCCAGGCCACTGGGGGAGTTGAGCCCGCAGGCTGGAAAGAGATGCTGTGCCACCTGCGCGCCAACGGCTACCTGTGCAAGTACCAGTTTGAGGGCTTGTGCCCTGCGCCGCGTCCCGGGGCCGCCGCTAATTTGAGCTACAGAGCGCCCTTCCAGCTGTACAGCGCCGCGCTGGACTTCAGTCCCCCTGGGACCAAGGTGAGTGCGCTCTGCCCGGGGCAGCTCCCCGTCTCAGTTACCTGCATCACGGACGAGATGGGCGTGCGCTGGGACGGACTCCCCCCGGGCGCCGTGCTCTGTCCCTGCCCCGGGAGGTACCTGCGGGCTGGCAAATGCGCAGAGCTGCCTGACTGCCTAGACGACTTAGGAGGCTTCGCCTGCGAATGTGCCGCGGGCTTCCAGCTGGGGAACGACGGACGCTCTTGTGTGACCAATGGGGAAGGACAGCTGGCCCCTGGGGGGACCATGGTTCCCACCAGGTCCCCACCGGCCGCTGCAACAAGCCCTATACTGAGGACGTGGTCACCCAGGGTCCACGAGAAACCAGGAGAGATACCCCATGTCCCTGAACAAGGCAGTTCAGCAACAACTACTCCTGAGATTCCTCAGTGGGGAGTACAGAGCACTATGTCTAACTTTCAAATGTCCCCTCAAGTCAAGTCAAAGGCCACCATCACCCCATCAGGGAGCGTGATTCCCGAGTTTAATTCCACAGTTTCCTCTGCCAGTCCCCAAACTTTCGACTCTTCCTCCACCGTGGTCTTCATGCTTGTCACCATAGCAGTAGTAGTGTTGGTGATCTTGACCATGACAGTGCTGGGGCTTTTCAAACTCTGCTTTCACAAAAGCCCTTCCTCCCGGGCAAAGAAGGGGTCTTTGGCCGCCCCAGGCAAGGAGAGTGATGCTGAGGCCACTGCTTTGAACTCCGATTCTGCACATGGCACAGACAGTGGGGCGAAGGTCAGGGACTGTGGTCTACGGGACAGAGAAGAAGGCAGCTCTCTGGCGGTGTCCTCTCTTGGTTCTGGCCATACATAGGGGAACAGGAACATGGGGACTCCTGATGAACCGAGTTTTTCACTTTTGATAAAAAGGGGAATGAACGGAGAAGAAGAACTTATTTGTGGGACTGAACATTCCTGCAGAAATCCGGTTTCCTGTAAATCTCTACTTCACTGAGAAACTAAATCAGAACAGCACACTCCTTCCCTGAAGATGGAGGAGGTGGAAGTGCCTTATGTGGTACTGAGGGGCAGAGTCCTGCTGGGAAAGGTATTTTCTTATGTTTATTCTGGAGAATTTGGAGAAGTGATTGACCTTTCAAGACATGGAAACAAATAAACAATACAATTAATTTTTTTAAAAATTTTTACCAAATAGAAAAGAAATCCATTTGCATTGTTCAGGCAGGGAATATGTTGGTTTGAAATTCCCTGGCAAAAAAATAAAGGATTGTTGATAACCCAGACTCTAATATCATTGGCTTCCTTGAGGAATAAGGACTGAGGGACATGCTGGGAATAGCAAGGGAAGTGCATACTGCTTTTAGATCGAGGGAAAAGTCCTTAAGCCCTTCTAATGAGGAACAGTTCTCTAAGAACTCATAACATTTCCCTTGGTTCTTTTATCCTTTGTTTTCAAAGTCACTGCTACTTGTGTGCTTTGCTATAAATCCAAAGTGTAGTGTTGCCAGAGTCACTGGCTCTAGAAGCAAATTATAGTTGATCACAAATTCAAGTATTTACTGTGTGTCCTTGCCCAAGGAAACAAATGATTTGTATTTTTCCCTTCCAGTCCGTCCAGTGTTTGTGCTCTTCAGAGTAATGACCACCCTAACCAATTAGCCTTCTCCTAAACATCAGGATGCTGGTCCTCACTTCCGTTTGTGGTGATGTTAATTCTCAGTTAAAACATTAGTGCTAAGTATTGATTTGCAATCTTCTGGTTGCATTAAAGCAAAAATAAGCTGGGTTTCCTCCCAAGTTGCTAGGTACTTGTGCAGTTTTTAATCCATGGAAAAATTTGAATACCAAACCATTTCCTTTTCCTCTGGATAAGATTGTGTGCGTTGACAATACATACTCATCTTGGAATGATTACAATTTTAAGAGAGTCTACATGGGCCAAAACAGCTTTCTAAAAGAATTAAGTATAAGAAATAAGTGATAAATTTAAAAAGCTGTCATCTTATGATGAGTCGGGGTACTAGAAAGTGATCTAAAGGAAGCATTCCTCTGAAAAATAAGACATAATAAAAATCACTATCTGGTGGAATTAAAGTCCCTAGAAAATATCTCACTTTTATCAGTATGCCAAGACTTTAAAACTAAGTATGTGGGCATTGGTGTATGAAGAAAGAGAGAAAAAAACATGCTTAATAATGGGGAAGAATGACAGCATGAAGAAGCTTACACTATATTTTCATAGAATCATTTTGATGTTCTTGAGTATACAATGTATTCAACGGAGAGCAGACTTAAAATTAGTAAGTGACCAATAATAAAATAATCTACTAAAAAGTTAAAACAGCTCTATCCATAAATCCACATTCTAAATATAAACATATATATTTGGTATTATACCATTAAAGGAACAAAGTAATAAGTAATTTGCTTTGTATACTAAATATGTTTCTAAATAGATACATTTAAATAAAATCACAAATAAATTAGAATTAACAACATTTGATGGAATTTTAAGTATTATCATTTTGCAAGTGAAACTAAAAATCAGGTAAGTAAGGCACATGGTTTGCCCTATGTCCCCCAACTTGTAAGAGTATATCCCAGTTCACATCATCTTGGTATTATAACTTTCCACTCCACTACATGACTTTCAGTAAAGAAGGTAACTATTTGAATAGAATATATGGTGCTTTCTTTTATAACTTGAAAAATATAGCCTCATCTATAACTGAACTTAATTGTTAATTACGTGTGTGTGTGTGTACATACACAGTTGTTGTTATATCACAACAGGATAGGATCTGAAAAATGAATCTTTAGGAAAGTTTGTCATTGTGCAAACATCAATACACAAACTTAGATGGTAAAATGTACTACATACCTCAGCTATAAACCTACACAGCATATTACTATACTCAATACTGTAGACAACTGTAACACACTGGTAAGTATTTAGGTATCTAAACATATCTAAACATAGAGAAGATACTGCAAAAATACAGTATAAAAGATAAACAAAATGGTGCACCTGTATAGGGTTCTTACCATGAATGGGGCTTCCAGGGCTAGAAGTTGCTCTGGGTTTGTCTGTGAGGGAGTGGTGAGTGAATATAAAGGCCTAGGACATTACTGTACTGTACTATAGACTTTATAAACACTGTACACTTAGATTAACCAAATTTATTAAAAAATACATTTTTCAATAATAAATTAACCTTAGCTTCCTCTAACTTTTTTACTTTATAAACTTTTTGATTATTTTTAACTTTTTGACTTTTTGTAATAACACTTTGCTTGAAACATGAACACATTATATAGCTGTACAGAAATAATTTCTTTTTTTATATTCTTATTCTATAAGCTTTGTTCTATGTTTAAAATTTATTATTTTTTCTTTTATTTTTTGAACTTTGTCTAACCTTTGCTAAAAACAAAGACAGGGTCAGGATCATCCATATTACTATCTTCCACCTCCACATCTTTTGTCACTGGAAGGTCTTCAGGAACAATAACACAGCGCTGTCGACTTCTATGATAATAATATCATAGATGCTGCATGGCATTTCCTTTGATTTCTGGCTATAAATTCTTCCCTAAAATTTTGATTCCATGGCAGAATGAGGCCAGCCCATCAAGGTCTCTTAAGAGTCTATATGAAGTTAAGGTAGTGTTCTTCCTCTAAACTACTCTATCATTTTATTATTTCTTCAACCTCTTTGAGGTTTATTCCTTTCTTACTTAAAACCCTCTGCCATCACACTCATCTCGTAACTGCTTGCTCACTCATTTCCTTACGATGAAGACTGGAAGCTAATTTACAGTCTTTTAAAATCCTAAACCCTGCCATCCTTTTACACAATCTCAAGTCCTCACGCATGTCTCCTCCCATGCCTGTACGTCTCAGTTCCTTGACTTCCCCATTCCTCTTTTCTGAAGACCTCCACTTCATTTTAGCCATCCACTCAGACAGCCACCCACAGAAATATAGATGATTCTGAAACTGCTCCACATCGAAGCCACAAATTCAGACATTCATGTGCATGTGTATGTGCACATGTGTGTTAAAAGATCAAAACTCTAATAACTTTGCCATTGTTAGAGACAAACCATTATTGTTTGAGCTTTGATATTCTTTCTTTCTTATAATTATAAGCCCTGACATGAATAGTAGTAGCTTGACATAGTATCATTCTTTTTCTTTTCTTTTTCTGTTTTTGGAATTATTTTATATTTACAGAAGTTGCAAGTACAATAAAAAAATTTTTTTCTGGATTATTTAAGATGAAATTGCCAAGCAAATAACTCATTGTCCTTGAATACTTTACTTCTAAATAACATCATTTGTTAGCATACAATCATTCATAGTATTCCCATTATAATTATTTTTAATTTTCTCTTCCATTTCAGATTTAATAATTTGAGTGTTTTCTCTTTATTTGGTAGGGTAGGTATTGGCTTTGGTATCTGTCAGTCTGTCTAACTAAACCTTTACACAGGAACCAACTTCTGGGTTCATTAAATTTCCCTCTCATACTTCTATTCTCTATTACATTTCTCATCTAATTTTTAAAATTTCATTTCTTGTCTTTGTTTTGGTTTATTTTGTCTTTATAAAATATCTAGTATTTTAGAATGGAAAGTTAGGTTATTTATTTTGAAATCTTTCTTTTTTAAAATATAGGCATTTACAGTATAAATTTCTCTCCATGCACTGCTTCAGTGGTATCCAATAAGTTTGGGCATATTGTGCTTTCATTATTATCATTTATATCAAAATATCTTCTATTTTCCTTTGTTATTTTTCTCTCTATGACATATTGTTTATTTAGAATATTTACAAATTTCTGTAAATTTTTATTTTGATTTTTAACATAATTTCATTGTGGTTAGAAAATATACTTTGTACTGCTTCAATCATTTTAAATTTATTGAGTCTATCCTGCAGCCTAGCATATGTTTTATGGAAAATGTTCCACAAAACTTGAGCTGTCTTATGGTTGGGTTTTGCTTGGTATAGCTTTTCACATTTCTTGGCTTTCAACCATGTGAGCATAGAATCTATCTTATAATCTCTGCATTCCAATTGAGGTGCTTTGTACATTTGTGTTTAATGTACAATGAGGTAAGATCTATACCTACTGTATTTTATTTGCTTTCTACATCTTACTTTTTTTGTTCTTACATTTCTTCATAACTGTCTTCTTTTGAATTAAGTACATTTAAAAAATTTCAGAATATTATGAAGGTACAAATGTTTTGGTTACCTGGTTTGCTTTTGTATTGAGTGAAAGTTCTAAGTGTGCCCAACACATGGATAGCGTGCATTGTCCACGTTAGGTATGACTTCATCCAGCCTCTCCTGTGCAGGAGTCTTTTTGATAAAATGACTTTTTTCCCCTTGGGTAGATACCCAGAAGTGGGATTGCTGGATCAAATGGTAAGTCTACTTTTAGTTCTTTGAAGAATCTCCATACTGTTTTCCATAGAGGTTGTACTAATTTTCAGTCCCACCAACAGTGTGTAAGTGTTCCTTTCTCTCTGCAACCACACCAACATCTATTGATTTGGGACTTTTTAGTAAAGGCCATTCTGACTGGGGTAAGGTGAAATCTCATTGTGGTTTTAGTTTGCATTTCCTAGATGATTAATGACATTGAGCACTTTTTCATATGTTTATTGGACATTTTTCTATCTTCTTTTGCAAAGCTTCTGTTCATGTCTTTGGCCACATGCAGAAGAATGAAACAAGATTCCTATCTCTAACCATTTACAAAAATTAATTCAAGATGGATAAAGGATTTAAATGTAAGGCATGAAACTCTAAGAATTCTAGAAGAAAATGTTGGAAAAACTCTTCTTGATATCAGCTTGAATTACTTTTTGTGTATGGTAAGAGGTAGGGGTCCTATTTCATTCGTCTGCATGTGACTATTGAATTTTCCAAGCATTATTTATTAAATATGGCCTCCTTTCTCTAGTCTATCTTATTTTCTGCTTTTTCAAAGATCAGTTGGTTGTAGGTAAATTATTTTATTTTGGGGTTCTCTCTTCTGTTCTATTGGTCTATGTCACTATTTTTATACCAATACCATGCTGTTTTGGTTACTATAGACTTGTACTATAATTTAATGTCAGGTAATGTGATGCCTACAGATTTTTTCTTTTTACTTAAGACTGCTTTGGCTATTTTGGACTATTTGGAACCTTTCTGGTTCCAAACAAACTCAGAATTGTTTTTTTCTAGATCTGTGAATATAACATTGGCATTTTGATGGAGATTGCA